AGTGAGGAAAATCATCCTCCAGAAAAACAGCAGGGATCTCAGCACGAGGAGCGTTGCAGCCGGCTGCGATGTAGCCTTCCGCACCACACCGGAAACAAGTGCGCATCTGACCCTGATAGAATATCTGCAGAGAGAGCCCACAAAACGAAACCCGAGAAGAAATAGGGCTAGTGACCCCGCATGATGACCGTATGCAAGCACCCAGACGGATCCCCTTCAGCCGGCCAGCACTCAAAGTGGCCAATCAGTGCTTCACCACTGCACCAAACCTCGTAAACAAGGACACAGTGGCTCTACTACATATGTCAGCGTCCACAGCACCCTTATCGGGTTCCCTGAGGTGTTGTTACAGGGCTACTTCGGGCAGTTGGGGTGAGTGGTGTATATCCGGATGAATCCCATCTCCTCTGGTCGACTGAAGGGCGTCCAGAACGGCATTCAGATATTGGAGATGCGGCTCAAGTCTGACATTCCTTCGTCAATTGTGGTGGTGGTTCGGTTCCTTTATGTTTTCTTGTAATTTATTTTATTGTATTTATGTAGCATGCTTTAATATGTAAAAAAAAAAAAAGTTCCTAATAAATCAATATTCGACGCTAAACAGCGACACAAAATTACAACCGTCCCGTCAAGTGGACTAACTGTGTTTGGCATTTTTATATTAATGTTGTTATTGACAGATTTTGTATTACAAATTTTTAATTATCTACTAACTTACCCTAATATGTATACGGTAGGTATAAACTCTGTAACCCTTTACAAAGTTATGTGTAGTTCTATAAATGCCGAGATACCTGTTAATCATACAGGGATGTAAATACCGCAAGTTGTACCTGGCTGCTCGGTGTATATATACACCGAGCTTACAATGTCTAGGACCAAGGTATTCTTTGTGACTTGTCAGAAAGCACTTGTTCCCCATTAATAACCCTTAAGAGGTTGGTAGGCCTTAAGCCCAACCTCACCACTATCGTAACTTCTAGTTGAAATGTGAAACATCCTCTTGTCAGATCCATTGACATTATTTGAGCTTACATGGCTGGCAGCTGGTAACTGTATGTACTATACTTTAAAACTTTTAACTCGTGTTTTACCAGCGACAGAGCTGTTAAGTTACGACAACAAGTTGATTCACCTTAACTACAAAACCACAGTATTTTGATCATGTATGAAATATTAACAACCTTAAATCTCACAATAAGAAGATCAATCCAACAAACTTCAACTTTTCATTCACTAAGTCAAGGGCTTTGACCACTACAAGACTACGCCTGTAACTTCACTTCGTTAAATTCTCACCTTCTCCAAGGCAGCAATTAGAGCGGGAACCACCTGGACGTCGATAACGAGCTGAATATGGCGGGCTGTGCCAGCGGTAATATTGGAGAGGATCCAGGCAGCCTCTCTGGCCACGCCTGGGTTGTCACGATTCACCATCTCCCGATAGATGGGTAGAGCCCCCGCCTGCACTACAGCGTCTGTCTGTAACATGTTCACTCTTAGTAAGTTCACTATTTTACTTTGTAAACGCCAAATACAGAACTTAGAGTGCAATTATACCATTCGGATATTAATAAATCCCAGTGTCATTTTTTTCTAAAAACTACTTTGTTAATTAACAACTTTTAAATGAATATTAGACCACACCTGTTCCCTTCAGACACACACCTGTTCCCTCCAGACACACACCTGTTCCCTCCAGACACACACCTGTTCCCTTCAGGCACACACCTGTTCCCTCCAGACACACACCTGTTCCCTCCAGACACACACCTGTTCCCTTCAGACACACACCTGTTCCCTCCAGACACACACCTGTTCCCTCCAGACACACACCTGTTCCCTCCAGGCACACACCTGTTCCCTCCAGACACACACCTGTTCCCTCCAGACACACACCTGTTCCCTCCAGACACACACCTGTTCCCTCCAGACACACACCTGTTCCCTCCAGACACACACCTGTTCCCTCCAGACACACACCTGTTCCCTCCAGACACACACCTGTTCCCTCCAGACACACACCTGTTCCCTCCAGACACACACCTGTTCCCTCCAGACACACACCTGTTCCCTCCAGACACACACCTGTTCCCTCCAGACACACACCTGTTCCCTCCAGACACACACCTGTTCCCTCCAGACACACACCTGTTCCCTCCAGACACAGCTGTGATGATTTTGATGTATCATTGACGAATAAAACATTGACAATCAAGATTACAGAGGAGATAATTATAATGACGTAATGTTCTTATTATGAATCTCTTTGGCAAGCGGGTTTGAAATTGTAAAAAGCAAACATTATATGTTTGCTTTTTCATTATATGTATAATGTAATTATATATATACATTATATGTATATACATTATATGTATAATGTAATGTATAAACATTATACATTATAAGCAAGCATGATAATGTATGAATAAAAACTTTGAATTTAAATTTGAATGGCAGCAGTTGCCTAAGTGGTGTACGAGTGTGCTCCCTGCACAGCACTACTCTTGACACGTTCTCCCGCCCACTACCCCACACAGACAATAGTATCCATGAGCACTTGTCCACCAGCTCACTTGTTCATTAGTGCCGGCCGCTACGCTGCCGGTAGCCCTGAGGGCGGCAGTGACGACCCTCTCGTTGTCAGAGTAGAGGCGCTGCACCATGTCGCGCACCAGGCCGCACTCCACCAGCTCGTCGATGGCCTTGTGGCCCATGTCCGCGTAGTAGGCCACGCCCCACAGAGCGTCAGCTGGGGCACGAACAACACACGTCTCATTAGCCTGCTGATCTGACCACCTGCTCACAAGAACAGGAAATGTATGTATGTGGAAACTAAGGATAGTTGAAGATAGAGTACAATAGCAAGTGAAGATCTGAAACTTCATATTAACATAATTTTTGAAAGATGCGAACTCTAGGCAACAGTATACTTATATTAAAGCTAATTTGTTGAATGATACATTCAGTGTTGGAGTATCTGCACGACCAGTGGTGGAGGAGACATGCACAGTGTTGGAGTATCTGCACGACCAGTGGTGGAGGAGACATGCACAGTGTTGGAGTATCTGCACGACCAGTGGGGGAGTATCTGTACGACCAGTGGGGGAGTATCTGCACGACCAGTGGGGGAGTATCTGCACGACCAGTGGGGGAGTATCTGCACGACCAGTGGGGGAGTATCTGCACGACCAGTGGGGGAGTATCTGCACGACCAGTGGGGGAGTATCTGCACGACCAGTGGGGGAGTATCTGCACGACCAGTGGGGGAGTATCTGCACGACCAGTGGGGGAGTATCTGCACGACCAGTGGGGGAGTATCTGCACGACCAGTGGGGGAGTATCTGCACGACCAGTGGGGGAGTATCTGCACGACCAGTGGGGGAGTATCTGCACGACCAGTGGGGGAGTATCTGCACGACCAGTGGGGGAGTATCTGCACGACCAGTGGGGGAGTATCTGCACGACCAGTGGGGGAGTATCTGCACGACCAGTGGGGGAGTATCTGCACGACCAGTGGGGGAGTATCTGCACGACCAGTGGGGGAGTATCTGCACGACCAGTGGGGGAGTATCTGCACGACCAGTGGGGGAGTATCTGCACGACCAGTGGGGGAGTATCTGCACGACCAGTGGGGGAGTATCTGCACGACCAGTGGGGGAGTATCTGCACGACCAGTGGGGGAGTATCTGCACGACCAGTGGGGGAGTATCTGCACGACCAGTGGGGGAGTATCTGCACGACCAGTGGGGGAGTATCTGCACGACCAGTGGGGGAGTATCTGCACGACCAGTGGGGGAGTATCTGCACGACCAGTGGGGGAGTATCTGCACGACCAGTGGGGGAGTATCTGCACGACCAGTGGGGGAGTATCTGCACGACCAGTGGGGGAGTATCTGCACGACCAGTGGGGGAGTATCTGCACGACCAGTGGGGGAGTATCTGCACGACCAGTGGGGGAGTATCTGCACGACCAGTGGGGGAGTATCTGCACGACCAGTGGGGGAGTATCTGCACGACCAGTGGGGGAATATCTGCATGACCATGACCACACGAAGTATCTATACGTCTTGCCTCCATCATGGCGGCTTAGTCAGTATTTACCATACAGTTTAAGACACCCGGAGAGCTCCGAGGTCACATTTAAAAGTTATTATTGTTATGGACGACATGATAAGGCTCCAGAGGTCGCAAACTCTACTGCGTCCTCATGACGGCAACTTGTCAACGGTGTTCACTCGGCTCCTACACCTCACGCTGTGTCTTCCGGCGTGACGGCCCACTCACCTTGGACCTGGGTGTCGAGGTGGCCCACTCCCCCTTGGACCCAGGTGTCGAGGTGGCCCACTCACCTTGGACCTGGGTGTCGAGGTGGCCCACCAGCTCCTTGAGTGCGTGGGCACACTCCCGGCGCTCCTCGGGGGAGATGGTCGGGTTCTTGACACGGAAGAGGTTGGTGATCACCCAACACACCTGACGCCGTAGCGACAACTGCCGGAGAACACCAGCGTTACTAGGCTGCTGGGGGCGTTACAGGGGGCTGCTGGGGGGGCGTTACAGGGGGCTGCTGGGGGGCGTTACAGGGGGCTGCTGGGGGGGCGTTACAGGGGGCTGCTGGGGGCGTTACAGGGGGCTGCTGGGGGCGTTACAGGGGGCTGCTGGGGGGCGTTACAGGGGGCTGCTGGGGGGCGTTACAGGGGGCTGCTGGGGGGGCGTTACAGGGGGCTGCTGGGGGGGCGTTACAGGGGGCTGCTGGGGGGGGGGCGTTACAGGGGGCTGCTGGGGGGGGCGTTACAGGGGGCTGCTGGGGGGGGGGCGTTACAGGGAGCTGCTGGGGGCGTTACAAGGGGCTGCTGGGGGGCGTTACAAGGGGCTGCTGGGGGCGTTACAAGGGGCTGCTGGGGGGCGTTACAAGGGGCTGCTGGGGGGCATTACAGGGGGCTGCTGGGGGCGTTACAAGGGGCTGCTGGGGGCGTTACAGGGAGCTGCTGGGGGCGTTACAAGGGGCTGCTGGGGGCGTTACAGGGTGCTGCTGCTGCAGTACTCACTGGCGTAGTAATATGGAGGAGGTTGATGAGAGGCTTGACGATGCCCTCCTTGATGGCCGTGTCCCTGTACTGGGCGCCGTCTCCCACAATGTTGGCCAGCGCCCACACGGCCTGCTCCTTGACGCACATGTCCGGGGAGGCCAGCAGCCGCACCAGCACCGTCACCGCTCCCGCCTCTGTGGGGGGGAAGTGGGGCTGCTGTGTCACCATACACTATACTCACCTACTTGTGCTTGCGGGGGTTGAACTTAGGCTCTTTGCTCCCGCCTCTCAACTGTCAGTCTACTGATGTACAGGTTCCTGAGCTCTATCATATCTTCAATTGAAACTGTGAATGGAGTCAGCCTTCACCACATCACTTCCTAACGCATTCCATCTGTTTACTCTAACATTGGCAAAATTCTTAATAATGGCTGTGGCTCATTTGAGTTTTCAAGTTTGCACCAGTGTCCCCTTGTAGGAGTACCGCCCGTGTTAAATAATGTCATTATCTATCCTGTCAATTACCATGAGAATTTTGTATGTGATGATCATGTGTTTTCCGAACTCTTGTGTTTGCATGAATTGCACCTCGCGTCGCTGGAAGACAAGAGTTCGGGAAACACATGATCACCACATACAAAATTCTCAGGAGAATTGACAGGGGTAGATAAGGACATTATTTAACACGGGCCTTCCTCATAACTCATGCCTCTTAATTCTAAGGACTAGGCTAGTAGCATGCCATTAAACTACTCCGGCTTCGTCTCTTGTGCTTGACAAGGTACTGCTCCACGCTGGGGCCGTATACTCCAGGATTAATCTGACATGTGTGGTATACAAGGTTCTAAATGATTCCTTACGCAATTTTATAAAGGCAGTTCTGATGTTAGCCAGTCTTGCATACGCCGCTGATATTCTTTTGACGTGGGCATCAAGAGACAAGTTCGGTGTGATATCAACTCCTAGATCTTTCTCTGTCCTTTTCGCGGAGGAATCGGACAGAGAATTGAGGAAGATATCTTCCTCGGTATTATTCCTCATAATATTTGCATCATCAGCAAACATTGAGAGGACCGAATCTATTCCCTCTGGGAGATCATTTACATATATCAGAAACAGGATAGGTCAGAGGACTGACCCCTGTGGAACTCCACTGGTGACGCCCTCAAATCTCAGTGACTCCTCGTCTTCTATTGCTTAAGTACTCCTTTATCCAATGGCGTATCTTCACTTTTACTCCTGCCAACATCTCGAGCTTGTGCATTACTCTTCTGTGGGGGTACTATGTCAAAGACTTTCTGGCAATCCAAAAATATGCAGTCTGCCCACTCTTTCTTGCTTGATTTTTGTCGCCTTGTCATAGATGTCATAGAATTCAATTGCTCTTGTGAGGCAAGATTTGCCATCCCTGAACCCATGCTGATTTGTTACAAAGTTTGTTTCGCTCACGATGTTCTGTTTTTTTTTCGAACAATCTTCTCCAGTAACTTGCATGGTATACAAGTTAGGGAGAGACACTGGCCTGTAGTTCAGGAGGCCCGGGAGAAACACTGGGCCACAAGAGTGTACACACACACACACACACACACACACACACAGGCTCCAGGAGGACCAGGAGACACACTGGGCCACAAGAGTGTACACACACAGGCTCCAGGAGGACCAGGAGACACACTGGGCCACAAGAGTGTACACACACAGGCTCCAGGAGGACCGGGAGAGACACTGGGCCACAAGAGTGTACACACACAGGCTCCAGGAGGACCAGGGGAGACACTGGGCCACAAGAGTGTACACACACAGGCTCCAGGAGGACCAGGGGACACACTGGGCCACAAGAGTGTACACACACAGGCTCCAGGAGGACCAGGAGACACACTGGGCCACAAGAGTGTACACACACACACACACACACACACACACACACACACACACACACACACACACACACACACACACACACACACACACACACACACACACACAGGCTCCAGGAGGACCAGGAGACACACTGGGCCACAAGAGTGTACACACACAGGCTCCAGGAGGACCAGGAGACACACTGGGCCACAAGAGTACACACACAGGCTCCAGGAGGACCAGGAGACACACTGGGCCACAAGTGTACACACACACACACACACACACACACACACACACACACACACACACACACACACACACACACACACACACACAGGCTCCAGGAGGACCGGGAGACACACTGGACCACAAGAGTGTACACACACAGGCTCCGGGAGGACCGGGAGAGACACTGGACCACAAGAGTGTACACACACAGGCTCCGGGAGGACCGGGAGAGACACTGGGCCACAAGAGTGTACACACACAGGCTCCGGGAGGACCGGGAGAGACACTGGGCCACGTACCGACAACCGCCCTGGTGTTCTTGGAGGCTCCGGAGGCGATGTTGGTCACGGCCCACGCCGCCTCCACCTGCAGCTCCGGACTGCAAGGAAAACATAACCGTACTCATTACATTTATTATAATAGTTACGACACGCGCTGATAAGATGGTAGTAGGCAAGCTAGGCAGATAGGCAGGCAAGCTAGGCAGAGAGGCAGGCAAGCTAGGCAGAGAGGCAGGCAAGCTAGTGCAGCCCATCCTCCTGTTCTAGTAGTATTTATATCAACGATGAGGACCATAATATATATACCGACGTACAACGAAATTAGAAATCTGACCTATTGAGTTGGACAAACTGGAAAACTATTTTTTACTTGTGTTGCTTTGACAAATTAAGCTAACCTAAACTAACCTTTCTCGGCCTAATACACGATATCTGAGGCCTAATATAGTACTTGTGTGCTATACTAGGCCTAGGAATATTTAAGTTTGGTTTTTAGCTTCATGTATTTTAAAAGAATTCCTTACTAGTCAGTATACTACTATCTAAAAGCTAAGTAGGTACGAATTCCTGACTATTAGTGCAACCCGTTCTGATATACTAAACATAATAGATACCCTTAAAAAGATTCATAGAAAACACCGACCTTACCTAACCTTGTTAGTATCTTAAGATAAGCATCTTATTGCTTCGTAATTACAATTATTACTTAACCTATACCTATTATAGGTTAGGTAATAATTGTAATTACGAAGCTATAAGATGCTTATCTTAAGATACTAACAAGGTTAGGTAAGGTCGGTGTTTTCTATGAATCTTTTTAAGGGTATCTATTATGTTAAGTATGTCACCTATGCACATATTTAATAAGTCAATATTGACTTTACGAATTTGCGAGAACGGGTTGATTAGTGACCGTCACAATAGCTACCATCTAAACAGGAGGATGGGTTGGCAAGTGTCATGACGTCTTAGTAATACTGATGGTGTAGGTGTCACCACCTCAATAGTTGGCACTCTTGGCCTCAGGTAAACCACGACACTATTAGGCTCTAGGGATATAGTTAAAGCCTGAACCAGTTTACTGGCTGAACTTAAATATAACAACTATTTATATTATTTATCAGCACATTAAAATTAATAACACTGGCATTGAAGATTGATGGTACTAAGTAAAACAGGTCAAGCTCAATGTTCACAAACTTAACATTTGTCGGAAATTCCCGACACGTAAATAACTTCTTGTGTATCAAGTTTTAAATGCTGTTGTATCATTAAATAATCATAGATAGTAATCATAAATTAGTATAGCTAAGCATACAAAGAAATTCAGACGTCGCGAAATATATTAGAAAATGTGAATTTGCCACGTCACCCAACCACTTGGGCTGGACGGTAGAGCGACGGTCTCCCTACCTGCAGGTCGACGTTCAATCCCCGACTGTCCAAGTGGTTGGGCATCATTCTTCTCCTCCTCTCCCTCTCCCTCCCTCTCCCTCTCTCTCTCTCTCTCTCTCTCTCTCCCATCCTAAATCCTTATCATGATCCCTTCCAAGTGCTATATAGTCGTAATTGTTTGGCACTTTATATTTTCCTTCCCTCCCAATCTCTGATTTTCTATAACTTACATTAACTAATCCTTAAAATAACAGTCTGGAGAACAAAATAGATAAAAAAGTGTTCCAAGTTCGAATATAATTTAATCACCAACAAAATAAGGACCTTCATCCCCTTGACCATAAATGGTAAAAAACACTGAATCAGACGAGAGATGCGTGTGTCGTGTGGAGGGGGAGAAGAGACACCACTGTACCTGCTGCTCTGCCTCGACACATGTTCATACCACCACTATTCAAGATGCAAATCAAGAATGGCAAAAGGCCGAAGGGAACGACACTTAGAAAGAAGAGAGGGGAGGAAAAATGAAAAAGAAGGAAGAGAAAATAGCTTTAACAAAATTAGTGAGGACGGCAGCAGGAGTATAAGGCTGCAAAAGGACAGAGGACCGCCCCGTAGAGCATCACACCCCGGCAGCCGCCCACCAAGCCCTCTCACGGCCACAACGGGCTGGAAAGCGAGGGGGTATAAATGCACAAATTATAATTCACTCAACTCGAGTAAAACAAAAACCAATAACCAAGACAAGTGGAGCAGAACCGCACGCACACTTACAGTCCCCCCCCCCCCCCACAACCCACCATCCCTTATACTACAGGCAATCAATATTAGTGTTACAATGTGCCACAACGGAAACAATTCCAACAAGCCCACAATAGATTCAACACACAACACAGCCAGGTACACAACAAGGCACTAATCGATACAGCCACACACAATCCCTGAACATGAAAACTCTCAAGGGATCGCATTCACCCAATCGTACAAGCACACTCACGCACATATGTATCTACAAACACATTTTATTTTAAATATTTACAATTTACATTGGATGGGCAGCATAAAAATGGACCCATAATCCAGCATGAAACACACGTATATTACACTCCGAAACCGGTGAAAACAGATTAAACCAAGTGACCATCCTGTCACTTTGTTTACCAAGTGACAGGATGGAAACCACAAACTTCCCTCCACTGGGAACAATGCCGCCAAAGCGTAAAGAACCCCGTAAATTACACACATACATTAATTACCGGTAAACACTCAGCACCAGAGAAAAGAGGGAATCACAACACTGGGAAAAAGACATGTAATGAAACCATTCCACCACACCACAATCAACACCATACACATCCATATTGTTCCAACCGACAGTACCACACACATCAGTATTGTACCCAGGCACAACACCACCAACACCGCTATTCAGTTACACGCACATTGATATCACACAAACCGAAAAACAGTAGGAATAGAAGGCAAATAAAAACAGTCATGTCGTGTGCAATCCCAGCACAAAACACACACGAGGAAAGAACTCCCACAACTATGCACAACTATGACAACATTCAACAACAAAACAACGCAAGACGGAACCTGCAGCACAAACCACAACAACTCTCCACCTGAAGAGTATAGTACAAACATACAAACAACAGTACCATTCACCCCATTAGGAGAAACAGACGTCCAACGAAATCAGAACGACCCATATACATCAGGAACAACAACCGAGACTCGGTACAGCCCCTGTAAACAATAAAATTCCCAAGAACAAACTGCAACAGACCTACGGAACCCGGTGTCCATCAACCCAACACAGGGAACAACAAAACTACAGGCAGAATTCCCATGCAACAAAATGTAGAAACAAAGCTACCCTATATACCCTACCCAATGGAACATTATCGCCCCACCATGAAGCAATTGATTTAAAGATATAACTACGCCTCATTACCCAAAATAACGACATGCACTACCCCAATGCACATAATTACCAGCAAAATGGTCCACCAAGCCCTCCCCAAGCATCCAATATAATTCCCAGTTCGAGTAACGTAAACGACCTTCCAAAACCCCCAGCATTCTACCCACTGTATACCCCTCCCACCTCCCAACCCACACACACACACAAAGATAATTTGATAAAACCAAAAAAACAGTATTGCAGATCTTACAAGGAGCCTGAAAATCAAACATCAACAATCATAAATGATTAATACGAAACGCCGACCTGCAGAAACGCACAATCGTTTCAGTCAACCAACTCACTAACCTCGCCCTAACTGGGCAAAAATAAAACACATGAAATGCATTCTTCAGTCCTCCACAAAGGTCACGCCCGGCATTATCCTTACTCCCCAACATCAGCAGCCGCTCGTTAGTCGCCAGCGACTCGACTCGTGCAAATACAGGTACAGGAATTCTCTGTAATGCTAGAAACTTCAAATGGACCGTTCACCACACCTCCATCCAATAAACATGAGAGAACGTGCCCTCCACAGCAGGGGCAACGAAAGGACGCAACTCCCCATACACCTTCCGACATGGAAAAAGCAAGAACCCCTCCACACGACAAAGCCTCCCAAGGACATCAATAGCACATGTATAAAATGGTGGCGATAAAAATACAATCTCCCCACACAAAGGCAACCTTTACCTCAACAAGGAACTAACACGCATCATACAATAATATAATTCAGAGAAAAAACACCGTTCCCCACCAAAAGGGGGGGGGGGGGGGACACCGTCCCCCACCAAGGGGGGGGGGGGGAACACCGTCCCTTCCTGAACATGCCAAACAATATCGCCAACGCCTTATGATATACATCAAGTAACCCAATCCCGCCCCACAATTTTGGCAAACAAAGCGTAGACCAACGTAACTAATGATATCTCCCAGACTACAGACTACAGGTAACGAAAGAGACCCTTGTTGATGGCCGACACAAACTTCCGGCTCAATGGAAAGGTATGAGCAATGTACCAAACCTTAGCAAGAATGTTATAGTTAAGAAGCAGCCCTCTTTGAAACAGTCACCCTCCTCCCACACAAACACGAAATTAAACCCAACACCCCCTCTAGCGACAGCTTCCTAGTTCTCCTGCAATGACATTGTATACATTCACCGATGTACAAATCAAATCACAACGGATTCCCCCCCCCCCCAAGAAGGCTGCAAATCGAATCCCCCCCCCCAAGAAGGCAATTGGGCTTAACCCCCCCCCGAGGAACGCCCCCCCCCCCCAGAAGGCTTAGGAACACCAGGCACCAAGCCCCATCATACAAGATTTCTCCCGATTAATAACCGCCCCGCCGTCTGATGAAACCGAGCCATTACATCCTGTACGATCGGAACTGACTTCTCCGTGGAGACCAATACACAGTCGTGTCATTCTCCACACCCCGACAACTGAGATCAGCAATCCATTCGGAAGATGCAGCAGCACAATAGAACGGTGAGACCGCAAAGCCAAATACAGATGTTACTAAAACAATAAACAGGACCATAGAAAGCGGGAACCCTTGCCGGACCGCCCTCCCAAATGTAAAAGGGGGCATTCAACACCCTGTTAATACAGACACTCCTCTGCCAACCCCTATACAGCGTTCTGACCCAAGAGAAACTGTGGCACGATCCCGGAGCCGGTCGGCCGAGCGGACAGCACGCTGGACTTGTAATCCAGATCCCGGGCGACC